ATATATATTTATATATATATATATATATATATATATATATATATATATATATATATATATATATATATATATATATATATATATATATATATATATAAGCCAGCGGAACGGAAACTTTTCTTTTCTTTTTCTAACGGAAAAATCTAGATGGCATCTAGTAGCAAATATAAACTGCATTTTTTCGAATTAACTTCGATTATCAACGGAATAGTAGGTTTACTTATTTAGTACAATAATTAGTATTTCTCGATCACGGCATCGGTTTAAAATTGGCGTGGTAATCTCGTAACACAACCAAACTTGAAAAAGTTCAAACAAATCGAGAATGTTCTAGATTCTTTTTATGGAAGTATATTAATTAAAGACTATTATAATAGCTCGTTAGTAGTTGTATTTTCGAACGTGATTTCGAATTATGAACCAGTCAATGGATGTCTACTTAGTAACCGGTTTGCAACTACCGGTTGTCTAATAGAGCTGCCTATACATTTTACGTCTCCCATGAATATGGGTTTTGCTAATATTCTTTGTTCTCCTTTAGTGATCTGTCCGGTTCTAGAGTATAGGCACACGGGTATGCGATCCCAGCTTTCCTAACCACAGCAGTTTCTGACTAATATCCCCTCCGTAACTACAGTGACCCCATTCCCTTCCCACAGAAATCCTTCATTACTTTTTTACCAACTTCCTTTACTTACTCTTAACGTCCTCCTTTTTCCTCGATTCTTTCCTTCATACTGTAGGTAACGAATACCACCAATAAATGCATACCCAAGGAGGGTTGTTTTTTTTAAAAGATGATGATGGAATGGTATCCCCGATACTATCCCCGATTCTGCGCTATCGGTATACACTGACGGGGCGGTTGAATTTAGGTACGCGATCGGTTGTGAAACTAAAAGCTAAAACCTGGAGTTACGTGGAAAAAATATATTATGCCGTCAGCTTGTTTGCTATTCTAAGTTGTATAAAATAAAAGAGAAAGGTAGATGGCGCAAATCAGACACAGTAAATGCATAAAAGGAATCAGACACAATGCAAAAAATTCTAAATATAAAAATAAGATTACATAACCTAAATAAACATACATATATAATAAAATAATAATACATAAACATACATATATAATATAAATAATAATACATAAACATACATATATATAATATAAATAATAATACATAAACATAAAATATGCTAAATAGATCAAAAACTCAAATAATTAGGACAAGGATAAGAAGACGATGGTGATGATTGTGAGGGTTGAGGGACAGATTTAAAAATGAAGATATGTAGATTCGAAGATTCGAACCCACAATTGTTGTTATATGTAGAGGTAGAAGTAGGTCGAGGAGTTATAACAAAGGAACATAGCTTTTATGTGTCCTTACAAACTTTACACTTTATACTGTCTAGAAGTATACTTTAACTTTATAAAGATATGCCAATACTGAGTTTGAAACGCCTTCTCAACTAAGTCTGTCAACGTGAACGAAGAAATTGGAACGATTTCAAATAAAATTCAAACATGTATTTACATAATATGCGTTCTTAATTGTGACAAAAGTCTTTTTTTGTATACAACTTAGAATGGCAAACATGGAGCTGACGGTCCACCTGATGAGAGCTTTGAGTTTTTCCAAAAAGTGGTAACCGTCGCCTATAGACATGAGCAGTACTATGGGCATAACAGAGTATACTGTTTCGCCCATAATACCCCTCATGCGTTGCCGCTCCTGAGGACTCAGGTGTTATTCCTCTGTTCCCAGTAAATTCACGCCATATCCCACCCATAAAACCGAAACATAGCTATGCAAACACAACTGCTTCACGGTTGAAACATGAATGGGACAGAGGTACTCAAGCCATTGACTTTTGTACAAAGTCTCCCTCTGGTGAAAGTCTAAAAAAGTAACTCTGATAAAGTCTTACCTATCTATCAGTGAAAGTTTGATATTTTCTCGTGAATATAAACTATTTTTTGGGCAACTTTAAAAGCAATATCATTATCAAAATAAATAAATAAATAAATCATTATTCCTTTCGTATAAGGGGGGTTTGCCAGTAGTTATCACGCTTGGTAGGTATCATGGACGAAACAGTATACTCTGTTATGTCAATGGTACTGCTCATGTCTATAGGCGACGGTTACCACTTTCCATCAGGTGGGCTGTCAGCTTGTTTGCCATTCTAAGTTGTATAAAAAAAATAGGTTTTTAGTGATGTTTTAAGAGGGACGCTGTCAATGTCTCGACCATTAAGTTCCCTGTCGCCTCTTACAACACCCAGGGGTGGCCCATTCTATGCCGGGACCACATGGCAAGCAACATATGAAGTGAATATTCTTTTAAGTGGTACACTATTTATGTTTACTCCGTTCTATTGGTATGTAGAGTGTTACATTCACCGTAGTCTACAATCGACAAATGCCTTTGAACTCCATCTTAGATTATTTGGCTGGCGAATATTTTATATTATTTATTTTTTCTATTAGTTTTATTTACGATGTGCGCTCTTTTTTTTATTCGTATTACTCCCTCTCTGGCCGCCTTAAGCCGCGTCCAGACGCAACATTTGTAATGTAACGCTTGTCCCGCGATGATTAGCCGAGAAGCCCAAGTTGTATTTTATGACAAAAAAGTATTTTTTCGTGCTATTTTAGAATTAGATTAAAAGCGTAAAGAGCTAGACCTTGAGTTGTAGACATCATATTGTATTTTTTATTGGATAAAAATGGAATGGTAACCCCGCTTGCGCTAACGGATACGCTGGCAGGGCACCAGTGAATGGTGATCGATGAGGATGAAATCAGGCTAGTTAGCCCATCATGATGAATTCATCTGTAATTAATCATGATAATTTCCCGGGAGAACCACAAGGAGGTCGACCTGGTTGGGTATAGCAATATATGTAATGGGATTCTCAGTGTCCATTATTAACAATCCCTTTCCCCCCCACATCAATATTGTATTTCATGATAATCATATTGATCGGTGTTGTTTATGTCTGTAGGCCATGCAACGGTCACCATTTTTCCTCAAATAGGCTGTCAGTTTATTTAGCATTTGAAATTATAGATATAAGATGTAGGTTTAGACTTAAATCATTATCCGTAAGGATTGTTTTTATAATTATTTTTTAACACAATTTAAATATAGTCTAACTTCAGTTTCATATAACCTAGAAATGTATGTATAATTAAATAGTAAATTGAACATAGCATTTCTTGAATACCAAATCTGGATTTCAACTTGGCATACCTTAATCCATTACGAATAATCTTGTATATGATAAAAATGTTATAAATTCTTTAGAGTATTTTATGCCAGCGACTTTGAAATTGTTGGCAGAAGGTGAACGTTAATAGCAAATTTAATCATCAGGGAATCGCTGGCGACTTAAAATTTATGTATGGATGTGAAAATTATGAGCGACTTAAAGTCGCTGCTGTATGGACTCTACGTTAACGCACGCGTTTGAACGCGGCTTTACTACGTAACACAACGCAGACACAACGTTGTTTAGACTGAAACATAGTTTAAAATTTATTAGTAAAGGAAAATAAATGGATTAGCGTTCTAATTTAATACATTTTAACCTTAACGAGTTTTTGTGTACATTTAAGAATTCTGTGAAGTGTTGTCGGTACGTACGAGACCTATGTTTATGTTTTTTTCTAGATGTGAAGAAACACTCACAGTAAAAATATAATACAAAATATTTGTATTATATTTGTACTGTGCTTTTTTTTCTGCGAAATTCGATATTTATATAATAATAAATATCGATATGGCGTGAATTTACTGGGTACAGAGGAATAACACCTGAGTCCTCAGGAATGGCAACGCACGGGGGGTATCATGGGCGAAACAGTATACTCTGCTATGTCCATGGTACTGCTCATGTCTATAGGCGATGGTAACCACTTTCCATCAGGTGGGCCGTCAGCTTGTTTGCCATTAGAAGTTGTATAAAAAAAAATATTGTGTCTGATCAAAGCGTAACAGAAAAATAATAAGATTAAAAAAAAAAAGGGAGGAATAAGATATTAAAGATAAATTACAACTAAGTCTCTCTCTATTAGGGGAGGATATAGCCTAGTCTATTGAAATAGAACTATGAAAAGACGATCAGCAGTCGTTGAAATTATCACTGAAACATCTATTAAATAAAAAATGTAATTAATCGAAACATTTAGTAAAGTAATTGATTTTTTATTTGAACTATATTGCCTATCAGCAGAACGGGGACCTTGACTTCACGACACAGGGAGTCCTACTGTGAAGTCTTCGTAATACTAAATGTATAATTGTTACATGTGTTTTTGGTTTCAATAAATATTATTATATAAAATATTATAATATTATGGATATCTGTAAAAAGTTTAGAATAAAAATTCGTTTGTTTACATTTTGATTAAGCTGTACTGAAATAAATTACTTATTACTAAATTGGTTGGCCGCTTATATAGAGAGATTTAAAAAAAAGCGCCGTCTTAAGGTGTTTTAACGCGCATGTGACACTTCTAGTGTTGCAAGTGTCCATAGTTACGATAAGCAAAAAATAAATTAATAAGTATTTTAGTATTTTATATTATCTCAAATATAATAGTTCAATAACATATAAATGGGGGTACTCTTTTATTGGCTTTGCTATCTATGTAACACTTAAGTAACTCATAATTGCATTTTTATAAGCTGTCGATTACCTAAACAAATAAATAAATAATCTTTTACAATTAGAATGGTTGTATTAAAAATGTTATGGTATTTGTTTTGTATGTATGTATATATATATATATATATATATATATATATATATATATATATATATATATATATATATATATATATATATATATATATATATATATATATATATTGCCATAGACTTGTGTCTATTAGATGAAGCCATTTAATGTGCTCTATTTTGAAATAAAAAAAATATTAAAAAAAACTGTTTACTATTTACGCAAGCCCTTAACATGTTTTTTCGACCGGCAGCAAACTCCGCTTCTCCATCCTGTCGCTAATGCGTCTCGTGGTGGTTGCTGCTGGTTTCCACCGCGTCAGGGTGCTAGGCAAGCGCCATCTGCCGGCCAACTCGCGGGACGCGCCCGTGGTGGTCATGGCGCCCCACTCCAGCTTCTTCGACGCCATCGCCATAGTCTGTCTCGGGGCACCGAGTGTGGTAGCCAAAGCGGACACCGCGAGGCTCCCATTCATTGGACGTAGGTCGTAGTTAGGTGCAAGCATTTGTTAATAATTCAATTTTGGAGAATACATATTCAAGTCTTTTTCGAAAACATGTCATGAATTCTCTCAACGCACCACACCAAGGTATCTTGGGTACGCTACCTATGAAATGTAGCCAGTATTGGCAACATTTCTTTACATAGTATATTCATTCTCTGCGCAAAGTAACTACCAGCTCTTGGGTGAAAGGAATATTTACTTCACGGAATGAGGTGCACCGATCAATTTTGTTCCACTAAACTTATTTATAGTTGCCCAAAAAAACCAAAAATATAGAGGACTGAATGATGGTGAAATCGAAAACACCACTTTTATTTTTATACATTTGCTAATTAAAAAAAAAAAAAACAAAACAGTAAATAAAATTAATAAAAAAAAACAACACATTTTTCTTATAAATGCGGCGATTTGTAAGGATAGACAGATAGATGGATGCTTGTTACACTTTCATGCCAAAACCAAAGAACAAATTAAAATAAAATTTGGTACACAGGTAGGTTATATACTAACTTAGCACATAGGATATTTTATAGACTAATTCACGTTTAAATATCCACTGCTGAACATAAGCTTTCCCCTAGGGGGATTTTACCAGTAGTTGCCATGCTTGGCAAGTGAATTGGCAACGGCAGTTAGACTTTGGAGATGTTTTAAGAGGGACGCTGTTTCCCATCCCTAGCCTTCCCTTAGTCGCCTCTTACGACACCCCCAGAAAAGGAAGGGGTGACCTATTCTATGCCAGGACCACACGGGAATATTACATTACAATGAATAAATTAAAAGATATAATATGTCGCGATTGAAACACATTTTCCTTAAAACCAATTGTTTAAGACGAGAAGTTGTCAAGCATGTTACTATTTATATATTTTCTTGAACCTACGTAGGATTTTTTTTATAACACAAAGGGCAAACGAGCATACGGCTCACCTGATGGTAAGTGACTACCGCCGCTCATGATCACCCGTAACATCAAAGGCATTGCAGGTGTGCTTCCGGTCTTTTAAAAAGGAATATGCTTATTTCTTGAAGGTTACGATGTCGTATCGGTTTGGAAATACTGCTGCTGGAAGTTGATTCAAAGATTTGAAATAGATTGGTAACAACCAAACTTTATGATTGAGAGTAAAATTATGAATAGCTTCTATATATCATGATAGAATCGAATAAATTTTGAACGGACTTAATTTATTTTTAAATTTAGAATTCTAGTTTTTGAGACGTTCTAAACGTTTCACCATCGTACAACCCGCCATAAACTAAAATTTCATCCCAACCATCTGGACGAGTGGCGGTCCTCCACTGTGCGTTTTTCAAAGCACTTTCTCCCACGCACAACCACTCTGTGTTGTAAAAAAACTTTTTTTAATATTATAGTTTTTTTTGTCACTGTTTTTCAAATAGGGAATTTAGCTTAAAGAAAAAAAAAAACCAACCATTTTAAAAGCTAGAATAGGTTTAACGTTTGAAGTGTTTATTAAGGTCTTTATTAAAATAAAAGTCATGGCCGTAATTTTTTATTTCTGTCTTAAATACCTCTTCATTGTATACCTTTAATAGCATTATATAGCATAAGAAATAAAAAAAAAAAATATAGGTAATAGATAGTACAATAAGGCGGTCTTATTTCTAAAATCAATCTTTTCAAGACGACCTTGTCTGAAATATTTAGTAGCTCGTTTTAATGTATTAAATACGAGAGGCGCGTTTTTTCCAATCGCCAAGTGAAATCATTAATTTATGGAACCGTAATACATGTAAATATACCTAAATTATAGAATTCATGTCTATAGGCATATTACCATTTTTATTTAGGTGGATCATCTTGTTTGGCATACCAAATTTATTGAAAAAATATAGAGTTGCGAAGTTAAATCAGTATAAAACAGAAGTATGAAGTGGACTTAATGTAATAGTACTATATAACGGGTTCAAGCGAAACCATTAGTATGTCAACAAATTAAAAGAAGATTCTATCTCTCTCTCTTCGTCCTCTTCATTACTGAAGTTCGTGTCCTTGAAGATTCTATAAGTGAAATTAAATAATTTCCACAAAGAGAAATGGCTTGATAAAGAAACCACAGAGCGTCCAATTACTAAATACTTTATACAACAATCGTCTGCTTGGGTCTGCTTGCTGTTTTGTTTGTGTTTCTGCCATTATACAGTAATGTTTATATGGCTGTGTTTCGGTTTGAAGGATAGGATCAGCCTATAACTGTCCACTGCTGAACATAGGCCTACCCCATAAGAAGGGATTTTCCAGTAGTTGCCACGCTTGATAGGCGGGTTGGAAAATTCAGTTAGGCTTTTGGTAATATTTTAAGAGGGACACTGTTGTCCATCCCTCGACTATTAACTTCTCTTAGTCGTCTCTTACGACTCCCACAGGAAAGAAGGGGTGGTCCATTTTATGGCAGGACATATATGTATAAATAAATAAAACTACCATTCTTCTATGCATTTAATTAAAAAGTATATATGTATGTTATCGTCCTAATATGTGAAATTTCGTTCTAGTATCTAAAATGTGAAAGTTTATGAACCCGTTTGAGATTTTATTACTCAATTACGGTTGTACGGATTGAAATGGAATAAATATCAATCTGTATTTAATAGTTTACTTTTTGGTTTACCACAAGTCACAGGATATAGTTAGGTAATATTATAAATAGTCAACGGTTGCCACTTTGGTATGTCATAATTTTTATTAGATAGGCTCTCAGCTTGTTCGCCATTTTGAGTGTCATAAAAAAAGTGAAAGTATATAGAGATATTTGGTTGTTTATCTAGATTAAAAAGAACGGTTAATTATTTTACGTGTAAACTAGATAGTCAATCGAATTTGAGGAAAATTAACAGATGCTTCGAACATATAAGGAAGATAGTAAGTGTGATAAGTATAGATAAAATTAAAAAAGAGTCTATCAGATGAAGTTTGAAAAATTGATAAGAAATCGCTTGTTTTGGTATGGATAAGTGAAGCGGAGTAATTAAAGAGAATGTTTTAAGAAAACCAATAAGTGTGAATGTGGATGATGATGGAAGTAGAGGAAATCATAAAAAGACAAGGATGGACTGTGTTAAAGATGATATGGCTAGAATAGGGGTGAATGTGGAGATGTCTAAGGATCGAGATGAATGGAAGGGGAAAAGTTTACGTCGACCCCAAATAATTGGGATAAGGTTAGGAAAATGATGAAGAAAGATGGTTGATGTGCATGAGGAATAATGGAAACGATGCACGTGTTTGAAATTGAAGCCAACAATAACTTAATGAATTTTGTGATGTATCATAAATCCAATATAACAGTATTTTCAAGAGGTTGCAAGTTTTTACAGAGACATAACCATAATATTTGTAGTTAGATAAATGACCTCGGACAATAAAACAGTTTGTTTGTGTAAAAATAAAATGTCAATACAAAAAAAAAAGAAGCAAGGGTAATGCGTCAATAGAGGAGGTTGAAGTGACACGAATTTAGTTGGAACAATTATAATATATAGACTGGTTTTTAAGCGAGATTCAGAAGATTCATAATTCCGGTGTATTTTTTAGATATGCTATGCGATTATATTGCCTATTTTGAACTAATAATTTGGCGAGGAGTGAAGATATTTAATTTTTAATAATGTAGTAAGCTTAATAAGCTTCATCATAAAGGTTACCTCCGTATTTGGGCAACTAAAATTTCATCTTAAGATTAAATTCATACAGTATTACAATTAAATACAATATTTTTCGAAATATTATAAACCTATTTATTACAGATTTAAGATTTAAGACATAAGTAATAATTATTCTTCAAAAATTGAATATTAACAAATGCTTACGCGTTGGTGTTACCAGTTTGTCTTTAGTCTGCGTGCTGTAGAGTTTTTATTTGTGTTTTTGTGTTTTTTTTTTGTGCGTTTTAAAGGTCTATTCTAAACGGGCATAGACATTCAAGGTTCAGCTACGCTCCAGCGATTCGCTATAAATTGAACGCCTTGATATTCTAAAAGGACGTTTGTTTTCAGTGATAACATGTTAGAGTCTCTAGTCATAATATAATTTTTATTATTTCAGTGCTAAGAGTTTTTTACAGAACTAGGTCCATATCACTGGCTAGTTAATTAGAATTATTTTGTTTAATTCCTCCACTGTTAATATGTATGACTACCATCATATGAAATTTGACTATTATTACAAGGTAGTATCTGTAGAAGTTCTATGTATATCAATCTCCGACCACTATCTAATCCACGCACATGTTGTAACATGTGTTTCATCTCTAAACGAGGTGTCTTCATGCAATCATCATATCGTAAATTGATCACTGCTGAACATGAGCCTCTCCCATAAGAATTTGTTTTAAATATATTTTATATATTTAAATACTAGTATTCAATTATCTCATTTTAACAACTCAATTACATCCTGCCTTACAGGTATTTTCTCTTAAGAGAAGTATTAATTTTTTATTAGTATGCTTACTTGATACAGCGTTACATTTCGAATTCCCCTTTCCTCCCACTGATTGTTTGACAGTTTTTTTATGACATCTTAGACGTGAGCAGGAGTAATATTGTATCTTTATTCTGTCTTGGCAAAAAGCCATCTGCATGTGTCACCATATGTCTGGGCATAAAAAAAATACAGGACATGGGTTTGAAAAGGATTATTAGTAATGCGATCTAAAATTTTCATTGCTACTAGTGTACCGTATCAGGTCTACTTCCACGCTGTTCCTTGGAAACTATTGCGGTTAATTCTTGTAAAATTCGTCATGATAGACCGACTACTTCATGCTCACCTATTATTTCTCACTGGTCCTCCACTAGTGTATACCGATCTGCAGGTATACCAATACGTGGGGTAACTGTGTTCTTATCACCCATTAAAAATACGGGACATACCATAGATGTAGTATAATGTACTTATCTAGATATATTTCAAAGATGTTTCCTCCCATGAACACTCAGGTTGTGGAAT